TTTTTTCTTTACTATAAAATCTCAATAGCTTCTTGAAAAAAAAGAAGATCATGAATAATCAGAACATTTATTTTATTTGAATGATGAATACATTCAATACGAGTATTTCTTGTTGAATCTTAAGTGAAGATATAGAAAGAGAAAAATATGTATACAAAACTGCTTAGATGAATAAGCAATATAAATGCATGATTAACATAAGAAAGAATAGTAAATTGATATATATATATATAATTACGAGTATTTTTGTGTATATTCATTGAAAAACTATGAATACTTTTCAGCTTAAACTAAATATTATTTTGGTTATGATAGTGTCAATAACGATGGCATTTGAAGAGAATCACAATGATAACAATATTCAAAGTCATGAAAATATTGATTTTGAACTACCTCGTGCACGATCTAATCTATTTTTACGTACTATTATTTCTGGTAATAATGCTATTTTACAAGATAATGATTTAATGAATCAAAAGCAAACAGTTATACGACGTGATCAAAATTCAACATATTATAAAGATAGAAAAGGTCGTATATGTGTTTTATGTAAATGGGAATTCGTGCCATGTTGTCAACCAAGTATTTGTCAAAAACACCGTATACGCTTTAATGAATGTATCGACTAAAAAAATAATAGATGCAAAATTTATGAAACAAACAATAATAAATCATATAATAACTATCCTGATAGACATGTCATTTTCTTCTTATTTATATTACTAAAAACTATAAATTCGTAATAAATAGTTTTATTCTATCTAACTTCATCTTACATCTGTTCAATACTTTTAATGTATTTGAACGTAAGAAACTTGACTCTTTTGCTATGTGTAGACGTTCATTATATGATCTAATATGCATGAAGAACGATCAATAGAAGTCGTCATATAATATCATTAACTTCAGAGAATTAGATAAACAACCAAACAAGATTTTTATGTAATACAGCTATTATTTATAAATTATACGTTTAAATATCACTAACAAATATATATGAGAAAAATATTATGTTATGATCAAAACATTTCCATAATGCATGATTAACAACACTTACAAAAAAAATACGTATAGAAGAAAATATTATGATCATGTATATATCCATAACAGATCTGGCTGCATCGATATGATATATACTCTAAAATTTATTAAAATTGATCCCGAGAGTGATCAAGGTTACTTGCAACATGCCATTTTCTCATAATTTCTATGTCGAGGATTTTTTTCCGGTTATATCAATTAGGAGCATGTCAGTCACATAAACATTTCACGATGAAGGTCGATGCTACTAGTTTATTTAGTTTATATTTCAAATATCGTTCATTAGTGCAATTATAATCAAATATATTTTACTAACAAAATAATACTATAGACTTTAGAATATATATATTATAGTCTGCTTTTGAATATAATTTAATACACATGTATTTGTAAATATGTTATTAGAGATTCTAATCAGTCACGCAAAACGACTCAGATGTCAGTTTCTTTTTCTTTTTCCGGTATTTTCTAAATTCTACTTCCTCTCTAATACGCCTTTTTTCGTTTTACTATAATAACGTTAAATAATTACTACTGTTGATATTGTTAAATGTTACGATTTTACGCTATTTACTTTATAGAAAAACGTGTAGTAAAAAATCAATTGGCATTCTCTAATTAGAAACAAACAATTTAAAATCAATGCCTGGATCACTGGCTACACAACACAAAACTTCTAATACTGATAAGACTCATTCCGATAAGAATAAACATGTTTCTACTCATACTGGAACGAAGAATACAACGCATGGACATACGATTGTTAACAAAAAATCTGATGTTGTCGAGCATATGAATGTACATAATAAAACAAATCCTAAAAGACGTAATTCCATAGATACTCATACAAAAACTACACACGCAGGTAATATTTATAAAACTCTATTTTTTGATGTTATTAGAAATTTAATCAAATTATTTTCTTTTCAATATAGCTGGAGGTACACATGCTCATGAAGCGACAAGATCACGTGGAGCAACAGTCTCACATGGAAGTCATCCTCATACAAAAGCACAAACACATATAGATACACATGGAAAAAGTACAACATTACATGCTCATCCTAACGTACATCGAAAGACTGTTACTCATGGTACAACTAAGAAATCGGATGGTCATAAATCACGAATAATTAAGTATAGCAAATCTGAAAATAATTCAAGTGATCAAGAAAAATTTACTTCTACAGGTACTGTAACTTTTGATACAACTTATTTATTATATATTCTTTTTTTTCTTATAGAAACTGAGACTATTATTAAAACAGCAGTATCTGAAACTCCTGAAAATATTACTAGTGAAAAGCCTGACGATGATGAAACGAATTAAATATAGTATTAATGATCCACTAAAACTGTTTTAATATATAGTAATAAACACATTTATTACTGAAAGTTTCATTGAAATGCATTATTGTGCTAGGTGAAACTATGAAGTTGTTAGTAACAATACATAAATTCTTTAAAATAATGACATGTATTCCAGTTGAAAGTTACAATAATCATCACAATATTTGTGTATGGGTAAAACCTCAATTTATGCTTTCGATAAAACATGTTTCTGCATAGTATGAATCAGTCATATCAATTAGAAATAAATAATGGTGATAAACTAATTCTTTCTAAACACGAACGGAAAATGATCGAAAGCTAGTATTACATCAAGGTCAATAATAAAAAGAAAACAAAGAAAAAGAATATTTAAAGTAATGCTATGAAGAAGAATAAATATAATTATAATGCACACAAGAAAACATAATCAGCTTAGTTCGAAATAAGAATAGACAATTGGTATAAACTGGCAAAGCATGTTTTTGTAATAAGGATAAATAAATATTTCTATAATTCAATTAAAAGCAATTTTATTGTCACATGAAAGACTGAAATTGTATAAAATTTATCGTTAATTCATCATTATTTTTCATCTATTCAGGCTTTATCAATAATCTAGATCTGTTTTTATTCAAAATAAAAAATACTTACTTGTATATTATAATTAGATAAATTGTGTACAAATCTTATCGTAGTAAAATATTTTCAAGTGGAAACGATCACGATGATCTATCTATTTCTGGTAAAGGTTTCAATTCGAATGATTGAAGTATTGCAAAGCAATGAAATAAAGATTGTTTGAATAAGCATGAAAATCAATTAGTTCTATTATTACTTCTTGTTACTATTTTGTCAATATGTTGAGAAAGAAAAATACTAGTATGGATTTTCAATCAATTCTGCTAGTTTGAAGGAAAAGCCAGAAAATCATATATGATTTGTGAATTTTTTAGAGGTCGTCTTTATTAGATAATACAATATCATTTCTATCTTGGCAATGTTTTGTTTAACGTCTGGGTATTAAGTAGAATCACATACTATATTTTTCTTTGAAAATTGCGATGGAATTTTTCTTAGAGGTTCCTTTTTTTTTAATGTTAACGAATTTTAGTGTAGGTTGTGTTTCTTCTAATTGTAAAGATAGAAACAACAACAAAAACAAAGTCATTATATTTAACAAACTATGACTTCTGAAAAACTCACAAATCATATATAATTTTCTAGTTTTTCCTTCAAACTAGCAGGATTAATTGCAAATCCATACTATTATTTGTCTTTCTTGACATATTGTCAAAATAGTAACAAGAAGTAATAATAGAACTAATTGATTTTCATGCTTATTCAAACAATCTTTACTTCATTACTCCGCAATACTTCAATCATTCGAGCTGAAATTTGTACCAAAAATTGATCGTTCATAGGCATAGATCTTTGAACAAGATAATTTTATTGCAATATCAAACGATTTCTTACGAAATTCTCGATTGAAATATGTTTAGATTTTTAAATAAACAGTAAATTTAAATTTATAAAAATAACTTAACTTTTTTTCGCTCTAGCTATTTTCTATAGTTAGAACATACATTGACAAAAAATACATTATTTCATGATTGCTTTGACAAAAAAGCCTATATTAGTTAATTACCATTAATGTTCCATTTTTCAAAACTACTTCGAAGATTAAATAAATCACGCGAAGCTTTTCTTGAATCGGCTTTTTTTGCTTCATTATTTAATTTTTAATAATCTTCTTGAAGTTTTTTAGCAAAATATTTAAAAATGTCATTTTACGATAAATAATAGTTGTTACAGTTTGGATTGTTACTTTTTCTGTAGAGAATGACTTTACAATTATGGAATATACAACCAAATGATAGACACATATGTATAGAAAGACATTTTTAATGTTTTTTTCCATGTAGAAGTTCTGAATCAATCATGATTTTATAGTTGATGAATGCTTAATCATCATTAAACGATTGATGAAAATGATAAAATCAATAATGTTAGTAAAATAAATAAATATATATGAACAATATTCAATGAAATTTATTGTTTCTAATATAAGAAAATATCTAACGTCATCAAAACAAGGCAATCTAATCTTGCTTCATTATTTGTTGTGGTATAGTCATTTCTCTTATCAAATATTTGTTTTAAATGATATGCATGTATATATATATATAATCACACAAAGCACATGTTGTCATTTAGAATAAAAAGGATGCATATAAAAGTAAGTTATTTGTATAGGCTTAAAGATGTGATAAATATAAATTGTTGTTGTTTAGTTAATCATTTTTCTTGTATTGTTCGGGGTAGTTGCTAGTAGTTCATCACTTGATTGGCTTAAATTTAAACGTAATCATAATAAACATTATAAATCAGCTGCTGAAGAAGCGAAACGTAAACAAATTTTTCTTGAAAATGTAAATCGAATTCATGATTATGAACGAACTCATCCAAATGCAACATTTAAACTTGGCATAAATCATTTAGCTGACCGACGTATCGAAGTAATTTTTGAAAATATGTATCATACACACTAATAAATAAGATCTATTATTTTAGGAACTTGTATCTTCCTCAAAACGTCATTTTGAACTTCATTCTGAGAATATAGGAAACTCTCTTGAGTCAATGAATTTACCAGACTCATTAGATTGGCGAACAAAAGGTGTAATCTCACTAGTACGAAATGAAGGTGTTATAGGAGATGTAGATGCAATTGTTGCTGTTGGTAATTATTTATAATATAATATTAATCAAACTTATTTTAAATGAAAATAATATTTTTTAGAAGTGATTGAGACCTTATATGCTATTCAAACAGGAAATCTTGTAGCTGGTAGTGTTGCTCGTGTCATTGACTGTTGTCCAAAAGAGAGTGATGTTTTCGAATGTATTGCTAAACTCCGTGGTATTTGTCGTGCTGATGATTATCCATCAACTACTGGTCAGTGTCAACCAGATAAATGTAAACCATTTACTAATGTATGTATAATTGAACATTTGAAGTTCAACTTTATATAAGTATTTGAGTTTCATTATTATTTCGTTCTAGTTTAATAAAGTTATGCGACTTAAGGATCAAAATGAAAATACTATGGAAACATGGATTCAAAATTCTTCGTTATTTATTGGTATTGATGCAAGTCAAATGTCCTTTGAATTTTATATAAGCGGTAAGACACATATTCATCATTTTATTATATTGATTAATATTATTTCTTTATAATTTAGGTATTTATACAGATAAATCATGCTCGAAAACAACGGTTGATCATGCTGTATGTATTGATAATCATTGCATATATAGAGAATTTTGTAATTTTTACTTTTTCTATTTATTAATAGATGCAACTTGTTGGTTATGGAAAAACGGATTCGGGAGATTTGTATTGGATATGTAAAAATAGTTGGGGTAAGTATTTATTGAGTATTAACTAGTTTACATATCACTTTTTTTTACACAGGTTCTGGTTGGGGAGAAAAAGGATATATACGTGTGTTACGCGGACAAAATACTTGTGGTATTGCCACTTATGTCGCACAAGTTGCATAAACACTATGAATATAATGCAAAATGAACTGCATTTTCGCTATTCTTTCTCTTTTCAATAAATAAAAAAATCTATATTTTTATCAAAAGAAATAAATAAATTTGCTTATTTTATTTAACATTGTATACAAAAAATTACTGAAGGATTCGAATTATAAAGTAACTATTAAAAGATAAAGTCTGTTATATATATACCTTTGATCGATGTACTATTTGTTTCAGATCTCAGAAGTCTTTCTCCTTCCCTTTTGATTTGGTCTATTAAGATTACATATACACCCACACCCTCAAGTTTTTATTGATTATATATCAACTATTTTATCGGAAGATCGAAGAATGAAACTTCATTTCAAAGATAAATTATCTCAATCTATTTCTCAACATTTAAGTAATATAAAAAATAACTAAATCAAATTGAGCATTGAATGAGATTTCTTTTTCTTTTAGTTAAATGATGATTCAAAAACAAAAAAATCGAAATTAATACGAGATGATGTATGATCATTAACAATAAAATAAAATAAACATCATAGATGATAGTTGCCTCTTCACTTAAATAAGGTATCAAACATTTCACCCGTTATTCTAATACTAAACATGAACAAAATATATACTATACTTTCCTATAAAACTCTCTCAATATTTCAAACAGAGTGATCTCTATTATTTTCTAAGAACTGCGAACAACTCAAAACAATCTTAACAGTAAAATTTTAAAAAACACATCTTTTAAGTATTTACAAGTTTCTAATAATCGATTAAAATCAAATGTTTTACTATCTTTTTCTTTTAGATGGATTCTATTGTTCAACCACGAATAAGTATTTGTTATTTCGCATTGACCTTTGACTTCTATTAGGCTAGACCGAATTAAACTGCATTAGTATATGTGGTCAATGTTGCTACAGGTTAATATCAAATACATTTCATGATTCACCTACAATTTCGCCTAGTCTGTTTGAGGCTTTGCGTCAATATATTCGCTACATGCTTTTCTTTGCAACAATATGCTTAATAGTTGACCTTTTTTATTCATTTTATTCTTGGAATGAGCCATTCATAAAATAGAGAATAAGAAGCTGCCTATTGACATTTGTGCTTTCTTTTATTTCTCGTATTTATATACCTCGTCATAAACAAGTTTTCTTTACTCATACTTGTGTTAGCTTTTTCATCAAGCGAAAGACTGAGGAAACAACAGCAACGAACACGAACACAGACATGGTATGAATAAATTCAGAATATTGAAAGAATAGTACACATAGTTCAAATAAGACAGTAGTTTATTTTTTTTAACTTTATTTTATTTCACTATAATCATTTTAGTGACTACACTTTCGATTGTTTTATCCCATTTACTGAGTTCTTATTTAATGTTGTGTATTTTAGGATCCACTAATCAATCACCAACAGCTGTTGGAGAGAGATTGGCCTCC